CTAATAATCTTGTTTTGGGTGTCGGTTAAAAAGATGATTCACAGCTACACATATTGTCACAGGCATCAATTGAATAATTATTATATGAAACAACATAAAAAAAATTATGGTTATGACATAGATTATTAATAATTCATAGTCGAATTGGCAAAATTCTGGAACTCTGTTTTTTAGTCGTTTTTCTGCGGTTTTTGTGATGCTTTTAACTTTTTAAGAAATGACTATAGAAAATGTGACGATCTCTCATTTTGTTCTCTTTAAAATGGTATTTATTAAAAAAAAATAGTTTTTGGCATCTGAAATCTATCATATCCGATTTTTTTAGAAACCTTGCCATCATAGTCCATCTATAAAATCTTGCATTCGATAGAAAACTTCATTGATTATGACAAACACTATCTAGATTTGAGCTAATTGTTTGACAATATAGAAAAAAAAAATCTTTTATTATTAAACTATTTTTTCACCACCTTATGTAAACATTTATTTAATATTCGTATATAAAAAGACTCAATAATCTTGTCTGCTTTATCAGACTTAACATACAGTATAAAATGTTTGTAACCTTTTACAAGATTAATTTCTATTTTCCAATTAAATGTAAAGGTGAATAATAGAAATAGTCGATACAAAAGTAAAAAAAATAAAGGTTTTTTTTCTAAATCTTAAGATTGTTTCTACAGAAATTTGATACAATCAAATCACTTCTATTAATTAATGTAGTAGAAAAAAAAGGCCAATAAAAGTCAACAGTTAAATTCATTTCTATTCTATTAAAGACAAATGCAGAACGAATCCGAAATCTTTTTACCTTCAAGGTTACGCAATTTAAAACAACGACAAATTCATCGTGTTCTTTGGTTTTCATCTCGTTTATTCCATCTATTTGAACAAACACCTATCTATGGTTGTTTTCTATTTTTAATTTTTTCGATTGCTTTAGTTGTTGGTACACTCACAACATATGATGAACATCATAAAGCAAGTGTACCGATATTAATTATTATAGAATTAACATTATTTATCTATTGTTTAATTGAATTTATTCTACGAATTTATGGATCTGAATCAAGACAACGTTATCATGGTTTAAAAGGCAAAGTTCGATTTTTTTTTGAATATTATCTTATTATTGATTTAATTCTATTAATTTCATATGGAATTATATTTTTATTATATTTTATTAAATATTATGATTATTCATCAATAGGGTTTTTACATGGTCTTCGTTTTCTTCAATTACTTCGTTTTATTTCATTAGATCGTTATATAAAATCAATACCATTAATTAGTTTTATTATTTGGCAATATCGTCGAATTCTTTTAGCAGTTGTCTATTCATGTTTTTTACTTGTTCTACCAACAGCTTATTTTTTATGGATTACAGAACGATTTATTGAAACTGATGGAAAATATTTTTTTCAAACATATGTAGATTCAGTATGGTTTACTATCAATTCAATGGCTACAGTACGCAAAAAAAACCCCAAGATTCGAATAATTATTATTTGCTATGTGTTCTATTTTTCTTTTGTCTAGATTGGTTATGGTGAAACTTGGCCTCGAACACTCATGGGTATTAATAAATAAATCATTTTGTAAATAATTTTAAAATTTTTTGTTTTTGTTCTCAAAGGTCGTACCCTTACAGCAAGTTTGTGTTGTATAGGTCTTATACTTTGGACACTTCCTGCAGGTATTATTTCGGCTGGTTTGACATCAATTGATGAAAAACGTCGTGAATCAAAACGTCTTCTTCGACCTGCCGCACGACTTATACTTGCTTGGTGGCGTTTACAACATCTTAAAAATCGATCACGAATAAAGCTTGGCACAGATTATGCGAATGAAAAATGTAAACAATTTATTGCTCATCTTGTATATGCTCGACTTTGTCGAGAATTTCAACATTGTCGATATCATGCTAATAATGGATATGATATTCAAATTAGAATTAATATTGATCGAATTCTTCAATGTTTACAAACAATTGAAGAAAAATTGAATAATATCGATCGAAAAATAATAGATTGATAAATAACA